GGTGACCGTCCTCGATTAAATTGCCTTCAGGACTCTTGTAAAAGCCAAAATACGACCAGACCACCGATTTGGTCCTCTTAGATGGCTGAAAAATCTCCCGAGCGCTGTCACTGCCTTCCGCCATTTCGTCTTGTGCAAAAAAAAACACAACAACAACACTGCATGCTGCTTCTGTGTCAGACTGATCTGATGCTGGCTGGACAGGATTTACCGCGAGTTTTCAAAAGCGCGATAATCAAACACGGTTTTGATGATAATTAAATTTTAAGAAAAAAAACGTACACAATGGAATGCGCACATGTGACTAGAGCTAGTGCTATCTAGCGGTCGGTGATTTTCTGTGGCTCAGCTGCGTGTGGATCGCGAGCTCTGTGTGTGTGGATTGGGCAAGGCTAAAAGGGCAGAACAAAAGTCTCAAAATTCAAATTAATCAAATAGAATCGATAGGTATACTGATGATGTGCTGCCTGTTCCACTACCCATAAATAAACTACAGGTCACTGTATAGTTATGATAACACAACATGTGGGCCACCCTACACTTTAGGTGTGGGAAAAAAGATTTACAGACCAATCAATTAACAAATTCATAATGCACTGCTGAAATGCAACCATAATTGTTTTTTGTAATGGCACTGATAATGAATATGAAGACTTCCTACCCCTGTTGAACCGTTCATAAGTTTGTAAGATTTTAAATGTTTTTGAAATAATTATTTTATGCTCACCAAGGCTGCATTTATTTGATCAAAAACAGTGACAATACTAATACAATTTTCCATACTTTTCTTTTTCTTTAACATATATTTTATATATTCTATTAAGGCTTGCTGCGATAGTCAATGTTGACGGTGTTAAGCCGCAACACCGGTTACGTCACTTGCCCACAGTGGCACCGTGGATTTTTATAGTAATGGGAGAGAGCAGACACTATAATTAAAAACTGAACACGGTTGCTCAATGCAGTGTGCTGAACAACAGTCACATCACAGATCAGCAGCAGGAGTCAGATTTCATTTATCACGTGAGGAGAGTGAGTCGAGCTGACTGACAAGAAGAGTGAGGTGAGACAAACAAGACTAAGGCGGAAGATTTAGTTTCGAAATGAAATGCAAAAGCGCCTGTTTGCCAATATTTTGGATTTTGAAAAGCCTGTTGACTTTTGCCGTTTATCTAAGGTGATTTTGGACGTTTTTTTTTTTAAATATTCGTTTCTTATATTGGTTCCTTATATTCTTAAATTGGTGTTTGCTGATTTTTACTTAATTTAAACTGTGTAATTTATTTCATTTTACATCAAGATGTATGCCGTGCCTCCAAACTTTCTAATTCGTTTTGTTAATAAACGTTATGTTTATTATTTATTTGGTTCCACAGTGTTTGCAGATTTTCATTTTTTTTTACATTTAAACTTTGTGTAAGTTATTTGTAATTTTATATTAGGCCTATCGCATGTTGTATTTTTATTTGTTGTTAATAAAAGTTCTGTGTTTAATATAAGTTAGTTTGTCGTTGTACAGTTTTGTTGTCCATTCAAGCAATTGATACGTAATTGCCGCTACTTTGAAAGTGAAAGTAAAATGCGCACTGGCATTTACAAGCTATTTAAAAGCAAAGGAAAGCGAGCAAGAGAG